CCCCCCAAAAAAGGAGAACCTAGTAAACTTCTGCAGGAGGGATGGTAATACAGCAATAGCCAACAGACTGAAGGAGTGTGCACAGATGGTGGAAGAGGAGAGAGCTCTAATTATCCTTCCATTGTTCAAGGCTTATCATTATGAATGCCTTCAAATATCTATTGCATAACAGTTTCAAGCACACTGATCCTGTAAATGCGGAAAAATATCTCTCCTTCCAACGCTTCCTCAGGGCTCAATTACTGTTGTATACCAAGGCGTAAAATGGTCTTCTCTTGGCCACTGGCTCTGACAGAAAGAGGACTTCTGCTGTGATCACTTAAATCTGTCTGGGTAGAATCTAATGCCATCTGTTTGGAAAATGAATCCCTGAATTGTTACGGTTTAGGCCACATTATACATCCTATCCATGTGCCTGGGCTTCCTGGCATTTACACTGACTGCAAGACTATACATAAGTTCTTTCAATAAATGGTAAACCTGTCTTGTGCTTGAATTTGCAGTGGCAGGGTATGCTGCTCTTCCAGTGCAAAAGTCAGCCTTCTTGCACAACGCCTTAGTTTTGGGATCAGAGGTGCCATAATTCATCCACTGAGCACACGTGGGCTTCAGATCTGCTGCACATCCATTATGGCTGCTACCGAAGCCTAAATACTGGAATAGGCTTACTGTATTCACTTACTTGCAGGTCATGGGATTTCGCCTTTTGCTATGTACAGGGAGGGACACACGGCAAATGTCTATACAACACAGGAACTGTTACCCCTTACCCCCTTCTACAGCTCCTCCATGGCTTCATGCTGGTCCCAGGGCTTGGAGTGAAACACACACCAATGCAAACAAGATCCCACTCAAACAGCTGTTAGCTCTCTTTCTGTGGCTTGGTTTAGCTTAGAGGACTTTAAAGAGCTAGGGAAGCATCTTTTCAAAATCCAGTACAACTGCATTTCAGTGACCCAAGCATGCAAAAGCCACGCTTGAAATGGCCGTCCTAGCTTCCTCACTGATGGCTTCACTCCAGCCTGCTTTCACTTTTGTAAGTGAAAGGGAAGGCAAGAAAGAATAGCAAAGTGGCTGTTATACCTGCTAGTGTGACAGAGGAAGGGCAAATTGGGGCAGCAGCCTTGGGTGTGGGTAGGGGGTGGGAGCAGGGGCAAAAAAAATAGAACCTGCTACAGGTAACAAGTGGGTATCTTGCTGGTGGCAGCCAGCTGTCCTGTGCCACTGCTGCCTAGGTGTGGAGCTGCTCTGTCATGCCTCTGGCTACATCAGGAAGCCAGTTTCTCTGCCTGCCGGGCAGAGCTCTCTACTATGCAGAAAAAACTCTTTCTTATGGGCTTGTACTGGCAAGCATGCTGCTGCGTGCCTTGGAAAGGCTCACTGCTGTACTGCTTTTCAAGAGCCCCCTTGTCATAGCTTTGTCAGCCAACAGGTGGCCTGGAGTTGGTGGCCATCACAAGCTGCGTGGAGCAAAGTGGCAGCTTCAAGGATCAAGCAAAATTGGAAGGTAAAACAGCGAGGAGGAAAAATGGCTTGGGAGGGACATCAAATGATAACATGATTGGGTGGCAACCCCGGCTCCTCCCCACTAAGGACCCCCCCCATGGCTAATTCTCCACTGGAAGCATCCACTGCCTCTGCACTAAGTGGACAGAAGAATGAGGACAGTGCCATAAACAGAGAACTGGTGACAAAAAAGCAGCTGGCTCAGCCAGCCCCGATCAGGCCAGGATAACATTGTAGTGAGCCTGGCATAGGATCCTTTCCTTTAATACCATGGTAACAACTCTTATTGTCACATCACACGAGACTGCAACGGAACAAGAAGACAGGTATTGCAGAGTACCTGTGCGTGTAGTGAGTGCTGTGTGATGGAGTCCGATGGCACCACGGGCCCTATTTTTAACAACTATCCTACTTTCAGGTTGCACTTGCTGCACAGCTAAAGCCTAGTAACACATTTCAGCAGTGTCAGTCACTGGAGCACAAGCAAGTGGCATGATCTAGTCTAAAGAGCTGCTCAGCTTACTCAGTATCACAGTATCATGCAAAGCTGCTAGAAAAATAAACTTCTCTACAAAAAGTTAACACCTAACTAACTTTCATATCCTGGAATGGGGTAAAGTCCTTGCAAAGACTGAAAGCTGGCTGTAACAAAACTGCTGCTTAAGCATCCTGAGTATTTCATAGGAAAGCTGAACCACATGGTGTGTTCAAACACTCAGTATGGATTAAATGCTGCCCTGCTGAGGCCATCAGCCAGACACCACGTTACACACATGGTGAGAACAACTTTTTTTCATATCACTCCATGACCCTGAACTGATTTCCTGCCTGGGTTTAACATGCGTATCTCCTGGACTGCACATTAGACCCTAGGAGCGGGCAGGAAAATGTGCAGGCTCTCTAACACTGATGGAAAAGAAAAGCATTGCATCAGTTGCAAACCAGACATTTCTTTTATGTGTGGGGAATCATGCTGTCATGTTCCACCATGTTCCTCATGTTCTGATCTGAACAAATCTGATGCAACGGTTGGAACCTATTGTAGATAACAGCAAAGAAAACAGGGTCCCTTGCTTGTGTTGCATTAGTCCATGATTTAGGACTGCAATGTTGCCAAGGCCTGTTAAATTCTCCTACTGAAGTCTCTTCTAGGTTCTGTATCCCTGGGAAACTGGCCTGCTTCAGAATAGTCTGACAGCCTATATCTAGTCTAACTGGGGCCTGCATTATAAACTGCCATGGCTGAATACAGGCCTAGTTTCCATATGCAGTGACGGGCGTCTTAGCAATAGGGAAACATGAGAATTTGCTTTAGGTTAGGTGGACGTCTTCAGAATTCCTCCAAAGTGCCGCATGCATGTGGATAACATGTCGTAGGGTGAAATATATGGGAATCTATGGCAAGGGGCAACATGCTCGCCTCTTGTGACCCTGCACAGCCCCAAGGATTTTTCACTAGCATTCTGCTGGATATTGAAGAGGACAAGGACAAGCTATACCCACCCTGTGCAAGGGCCCTTGTAGTCAGAGGCAAGCTGGATCTATGTATTGGGAGCCTCCCACTAAGATAATTAACCCTCTGGGCCAAACATCAAGGTCCCAGGAAATATTTTTTCTCCTTTCTGGGACATGTAGTAAAACAATATGGTACCAGACCCAACATCTTCATGGATTTGTTAGAGATCCTGATTGCTTTCGAAAAGTTTCGTTAAAGAAAAAAGCATAACTAGGATCTAAAAGACTAAAATGAAGTCATCCTAACAAATAACTTATATGGAATTTGCTAAAACCCTGAGGGTTTCTCATCTCTAGCATATAGCCACTCACAACGTTAATGCTAATAATTAAAATTCAGTGAATGGAATGAGCGATCTTATCTGGCATTGAGTACGAAGGTGATTGTTTCAAAGGCAGTACTGTTTCAGAATGTCAAAGTCGCTGGTGTTCATGTCATAGAGTGTAACACTTGGTGGTCGTTTGGAAGGCGCTTCTACTTCTGTGTAACTTTCTTCACTTTTGGGTAGAAATATTCCTGGGAGGCTGGACAGAAAAGCATTTCATTTAGATATAAGTCTTAGGCACGAGTTAGAAAACTGCTGACTATAATGAAAATATATCAGCACTTAGTAGTATCCAATAATATAAAAAAATGCAATTCAGAACATCTTTGACTACATATATATGTGTGTGTCTATATAAACATGAACACATAGAAAGGTACAATACATGTATATAAACACACGCATATATTTAGCTATTCAAAAGGTGAACTTTGTAACTAACCTGAAATGCTGCAGCAAAAAGTTCATTCTGATGAATCATTAGTACGTTTTTTTTCCTTTTTTTTTTGGCTCTAACCATGGTACAGTGCTATACATCAAACTACACTGGTTATACTATCCTAACACATCAGTGAGCCAGTACCAGGAGGTTCTATTCTGGAACTGTAATAGTACACTGTCTAGTATACGGTTATGCAGCTACAGAGCTTGCTTGCAGTAACAAACCCTGGGTATCTATGGTTGTTAAAATGCTCTTAGATGATAACATTCAGCAGATTGCAAAAGGATGTCAAAGCCAGGTGATATGGAGCAGCAGCACAGCATTGTCATCTTGGCACAGTGCTGACTTTTGCTGGTGTAGGAGGCCCCGATGAACAGCGATAAATAGGAGTTGGCGATGTAGGAGAGAGTTTAACAGGGCTCATGGCATCTCCTGCTTGGAGCTTCCAAAGCAGCTCTTCATTAGTCCTACTTAGCCGCTTCTTTTCCTCAGTTTCTTTCTCAACATGTTCTTGCAGATTAGCGTTTTCCTCAGATAACTGCCTGGAGAGGGGAATAATGTATCGCTTAACATTTCATACAACCAACCACTCCTGGACTGTCTTTAAAGCAAGTTGTCCACAACCATCTCTTTTCAGTCACCACTTTGCATAAGGTACATACTGGCAAGGCAGTGATGCTGCTTTCATATGTGAAAGCCAAGTACATCACGTAGCATGGCTGGGGGGGTGCGTATCCTGGGACACTGTTGATATCAACTAATATTATTCAGATCACAATGGCTGACTCAACTCAGTGCAACCTGAAGGAAAACCCCAAGCACTTTATCTTATTACTGCAAAGGTCTACTCCATAGGTATGGCTTCAGAGCAGATAGAGTTTGTTATTAAAAAGAATATATAATTCCAAATACACTAAAACTGTGTGTGTTTTTATATACGCAACAGACCAATAAGCACTAAACAATTTTGAGGATCTTTTTGTTTTTATGCATATTTTCAAATTAATCTGAAATAAAAAATCTTAATCACAAAACAGCAGCAAGAGACAATAGTTGGTCATGGGATATGGAGACTTTCTTCTTTTTTGCACCCAAGATATGATTTTGACCCAGGTTGTGATTGCCGTGCAGCTGCTGCTACCTAGTTTCACTGTGTCAATAGACAAGGCACTGACCTCTTTCATGCGGATTGTGTGTTCAAGTCCCATCTGAGATCAGATGGCATTTTATGCCTGTTTCTGCAATTGATGGAAAGGACCCTGTGAAGTAGGTGGTGTAGTCAAGTCACTGCAAAGCAGAACATGCCTATGATTATAACCATCTCTCCCTGGCATCCTCAATGGCGGTCTCAGCATGTGCAACCAGGATGAGAAGTCCACAGAGACAAGGATTAAGGCACATTGGTGGCACACTATGGGGAAGCTTTCCCTGGCACTTAGCACGCTGCAGCTTTCCTGTGGACACATGGGCTATCTATGGATAGAGTTAGTCAGAAACATTAACCAAAATTTGCCTAATGATGCTGGCTTCCTCAGCCTAAAATGTCTTGCTTAGAGCACTGTCAGAGCCAGTGCAGGTTTCCTTGGAATCCTGGTGTAGCTGTCCTCGAGCCATTGACCCTGGTGGCTGCAGGTCCCTGCCCCCAGGGCATGCCACAGGCACGTCGGGATCACAGACACTGGAAGCCCCCAGTCAGAAAAACTGACCTCCTTGTTACTTTTCTGCAGGCTGCAGACCTGACGGCCAATCTCACTGCACAGCTGCAGGACCTGGGAGCTTCAAGTTTACAGAGAAATTTGGTTAAAAATTTTATTTCAGTCTGTGACCAAACAGAGATGCTGAAAAAAATGAATAGCTGGTGAAGCAGGAACTCCAGGTTTTGGCCAGTTTGTTTTTAAGGACGATGGGTGAAGTTCATATTTCTGCCCTTGGCTCAGTGGAGTTACACCAGGGCAGAGCCGATTTTGATGTTGGCAACTTCAGTTTCATATAAAAATGAAAGCTTGTTACCCAGGGCTCTCTTGTAAGGCGGCAGTGTATATTCTGAGGGAAAGTGGATGCTATTACTAAGGAATTCCTTCCTCCGACCTATTCTATACTGCTGTCCAGCCCTACGATACCTGAGTTCCCTCAAAATAATGCCAACAGCAGAGGACTGGAGCCAATCAAAGACTTGGGTGCCTGATTGAGAGCTGCAGGGAATCACTGTTCAGTTGGGATTCCCCAATCTTGAATCCCCACCCTGCCCTCCCGATGGTCAGGTACCTAATGTCTTTTCAAAGCAGGGAGGGGAGTGGCGGGGCTGCTCTTCTAAACTCTGGCCAGAAAAGGAGGTGGTGCTGGCCTGGTGGCTAGGCTACCAGCCTTCTGGTTAGACCACACACCCATAAATTGGGAAAACCTCCACTCTGGCCAGAAAAGGAGGTGATGCTGGCATGCAGCCTGGTGCAGCACAAAGTTCAAGGAGCTGATCTTCATTCAGTTTCCTCTTATGTCTGACCTACTGCTTGTAAAATCAGACGTACCCGGGCAGAAGTAGAAGAATCAGGCCCACAGAAGACACTAGCCTCTTCAATATTTAATAAGGTTTACAAGATGCACAGGATGAGATGCCATGTTACTGTGTACTCGCTAGTCTGTCAGGGAATAGACTTTTTGCTATGACATTAATAAATACTGCAATTTGCTGGGGGCGGCAGGCTCTGAGGCATACGCACAAGCTACAGCTAATTTAGCAAGACATTTGAGCAGGAGAGAGGCTTCCTAGTCAAGAACCCATGAATAGATTTTTGCAATACAGGCATGCCTTCATGAGGCAACCTGCTGTGGCATGTAGAGAAGGAAAGGAGCCATGAAGTGCTATGTGGCTTGTTTTGATCTCATGCATTCTGGGACCAGGATATCTTTATTTACGTTGCATCATCTCATATGATATTACTAGATACAAGGAGAAACAACCTCATGGTGTATTGGAGAATGAAGGTTGATTTTTTCTCCTAGAGAGAACACAGCCTTCACATTGGCCTATGGGCTACTGCACACTCCAGCAACCCTTCCACATGCTTGGCCATGTTATGTCATCTCTGCTTTGACATATGATGGGATACAAGCAAACACAAAGTGATTGCATATGAAAGATCCACATACTGTCCACACAGGCACATGCTCCAATAAGCTTTTTTCTGGCAGGACTGGCCATGGGTGCTTTGTAAAATAGATCTGTTGTTGTTATGGTACGATTTAGAGATCCTGATGGAGATGGGAATTCCTTTATGTTATTAAAGTATAGTTCCTACCCGGAAGATCCTACAATCTAAATAGATGTGACAAAGCGCAGGGGTAAGGAAGAATTATATCGTATCTATTTATTTCAAAGGTGAGATTCTGAGGCCCAGGGAGATTACATCACTTACCCCAGCCAGGCTAGGAACTGGTTACGGATCTGCATCTGACTCCAGTGACCTAACTACAAAGCTTTTCTTCTACTTTGGGGGCCTACTAATCTGCTCTGGTACATTTTACCCACAGGGTCATGAATTGTTGCAAGGCTTCAGGAGGTTTGTTGTTGGTATCTGAGTGAAAGGAACATGAATTTGTGTGGTCCCTTCCAGGCCACTGAATCCAGTTCCCTGCAGTCACAGGCAGCCAGGGAACAGACATTTAGACAATAAGAACATCCCTCTGCTCCAGCCCTTCCCTCACACTGCAGCCATAAAACAAGCCTAACACCCTATGACAAACTTAGGGTTGTTAGTAAAATAAAAACAGACCTTCAGAAAACTGCAGTGTGCTGCAGGAAGACAGCCAGAAAGATGCAAGCACTGATGTAGGTGTGATGAGGCAGAATGCCCTAATATCTCCTCCCTGTCACCCCTGACCCATCCAGTCACCTATTTTAACACTCGCCAGTGTACCTCGATTCCCATCTTCTGTCATAGCCTTTCCCAGGCAAATATGGAACAAGAGGCTGAAAAAAATACCTGCCAGTGAAAAAATGGATATTCCAGCAGCTGAGTCTTTACCACCAAGGAGTGACAAACCATTGCAAAGGTGGTGATGTCTCAACTGCCTACACACTGGAGTTGGATGCTCCAAGGAAGTAATGAAGAAGTGGGGCTATACCTTTAGTTCAACCACCTGTGACTGTGGCACAGAGCTTCCGAGTATGCAACACCTGCTGCAAGGCCCACAGCTCAAAGGCATACGTATAATAAAAGATCTTGCAAAGTACAATAATAAGATTCCCAGGCACCCTGTCTGACTGGCCCAGGAACCTACACCTTTAAAGTTGTTCAGCATGGGCTAGGCCAAGAGCCTCCACCCAGAGGTATGCACTAGTTGCTTCATGTCCCAGTGTCAAGATGATCAGCAGCAGGGATTGCTTCCAATCCCTATGGTGGTGAAGGAACAGGGGTTGCTGTTCAGTATACGTTGCTGTTCAGCACTCAGGTACTGCTCAGTTTATGTTCTTTAATCCCTCATTATAGGAGCCTTCCACTATCTGTGGCTAATTCACCCTGCAGAGCTGAGGGTTTGCTATTCTTCCCTTGCGTATCTGATGGCTTTTCTCAGTACAAGGTGGCCTAGTGCAAGGCTAAGACACATGATGCTGTGGTTTGTGTGTCTCAGAAAACAAATGTCAGGTTGTCTTGATTGGGTCCCCTTGCTGAATGAAGCAAACAGCTTCCTACATTATTTTAAAGGATTTGGTCTTTCTGTGAAGAACAGTCCCTGCAGCTAGGACACTAGCTAGAAGAAAATTATATGGAGTCTTCTCCTGTGTACTGTACAGCCTGACATGCTGGCTGAGGGCAAGATGGTATTTCACGTTTCACTCAAATGGTGCACTCTGGCAAGATTTTTTTTTTTACCTACCCCCAAAGCATCAGGCATTAACCTCTTCAAGGCAAATTATTGGAGACAAGGCTCCCCTACTGAGATATTTATATAGGAGAAAAAAAAGCACAGCACCCATGTCCCAGCAGGGAATCCAGTGACTGTATGCGCCTATTTCAGAGCTGAATGCCAATATGGTGTATGTACCTTTTTAAGGGTGCCAGAACTGTTTAAAATAAAAGCCACAACTACGTGGGAAAGGTCGTACAAGAAGAGGCTGGACAGGCATTTGCCAGGAATGGTTGCTTCCATGCAGGGGACTGGATTAGGTGACCCTTGAGGACCCTTCTAGTTCTAGCCCTATGATTCTGTAAACATCAGGGGATTTCTAAAGATAAAACCAACAGGAAAGTTCAGCCATCATATTTTTAGCCTAATGGCTTCCTTCCTTCCAATGCTGTATCTAACTGATATTGCACATTAACCTGGTATTATTGAAGACCACTAGGAAGAGCAACCAGAGCACCAGCCCCAGTTGCTGGTTGCAGGAGGGAGGGCAGTGCAAAAATAGCAGGTGCTGTGCTGCTGGCCTGCCTACTGTCACTGCTACCTTCAACCTGGCTGCTGCTGTTGCTGCCCTGTATGCTGCTGACACCCAGGAGGCAAATCAGATTTATTAATACTTGCTTTGCAAATCTGGCAGTCATTAGATAGCTGGTGCACTGTGATCACTGCCCATCATGCTGTATCATTTCTCCTCTTTGCCCATTTTTCATCCACTGCTTCCTGTCTTACATTTAGAGTGTAATGTCACTGAGGCAGGGACCACCTTATGTTCTGTGTCTGTAGAGTGGACAGGGTTGCTGGGCCATGACTAGGGCTCCTAGACATGACAGGGTTATAAAAAAATATCCAACCCTCCCCTCACCACTTTCCCAAATGATTAAACCAATCTCAGCTACAGAGATGCTACCACAAATACTAAGGACTTATTGTTCAAATAAGTACCAGAGCCCATCAACTTCCAACAAATAGTATGGCAATATAGTGCTGGTTTCAGAGTCAATCAGCATTTTTGGTCTCAGTACTGTGGTCAAGAGCATGACCATTATTTAACAGGGTTATGCAATCAGCCCTCTTTTAAGCTGAAACAGACAGTCACTAACAGAAGAAAAACTGTTAATAAAACGAGCAGAGGGAAATCAACATTGCAAGGGAGATAATATGCTTAGTTTGACTTCCTTTGAATCTCTGGCTTGTTGTAATGTTTACTGTTTCCTGTGAAACTCAGGGCATTTGCAAATATCTGTACAAACCTTGTTACAACAGTATTCTGATCAATCCTGACTCTGAAGTCTTCATTCTGTTGTTGTAGCACCTGAATTTTCTCCTCCAGTATTAGGTTTATCTCAGCCTGCAATGACAAAATTGGCTTGTTATGTTCACCTGGTAGTAGCACTTGGTACAGGGCGATATGGGTTTTGATTCAAGGGAAGAGGCACTATTTTCCTAAGAGAACCAGTGGACAGTTCTCATTAGAGGTGCACAAATCACTGGCAGCAGTTTTGGTTTTAGGGTGTAGATGCTATAGGCCTAGCTTAGCAGTGTTACTCCAGAGAAATTCATGCAGTCACACTAGCACAGTATTGAAGCGAGGCTGTGGTGCCATAGGCCCCATGTTCTGACTTAGCAGAGTGGTGATGCTCATCCTTCTCCTAACTGCCCCCCTCCTGACTCCCCCACCACGTCTCTCTTGCAGAACCTCTCTCTCCTGTAGCTGGGATCACCCTCGAAAAGAGTGGAGTTGTTGAGCTCTTCCGGATACCTCACATACTGCATGACCCTGGTAACACAGGGTTGAACCAGGGGCATGCTGGTGGGTATGTCAAAGCCTTACAGAAGATCCAGTTCAGCAGAACTCAAATGTTGAGTAATGGGGAACTACAGAGTTAAGTTATATTGCTTATGCAATGTTGCTCTTGTTTCTTCCCAGTGCTGGCAATAGCTACTGCTAATTTCTTACAGGAGCCCAAGCTGTGCTTCCTGCATGGGGTGTAATGGGGGCTGGTGATCCTTACCATGGGGACTGTTGGCATTTAGCACAGTGTGTAGATTTAATGATGCATAAGTGGAAGCATTTTGAGATGGCATCATGTGGGAAGAAGTTTCAAAAGGGGTGAAGGCAGTATCCAATGTAGTGGGCAAGGCTAGATCAAGGCCCCTGCTACATGTTACATATATTACACAATTAACTGGTCAGTCACACAATAAGTTTAGATTGGCCACACATGCAAAGTAAGACAGGCCACAAGTGCAAAGTAATTATCACACAATTAACTGGCTAATCGCACAATAAATTTAGACCAGCCATACATGCAAAGTAATAATCACACAATAAAAATGACTAGGCAGTTAAAAAAGAGCCAACCAGATATAAAATTAGTGCTTGAAATTGTATAGCTTTATAGCTGGCTTCTATCCAGCTTTAATTTGAACATGTAGCAGGGCCCCATGGCTGCTGTAGTGTCTGCATGCCTGCTGAAGGTTTCCAAAGCAGAGTATGTGTGCATGCGGGGAGTGACTAGCCTACTCAGAGGGAGGAGCACAGGCTGTGGGGCATGTACCTGACCTCTGTGCGCTCTGCCTTTCTGAATTTGGATTTAAATACTCAAACTCTTCATTTCTTGGTTTTCAGAAATGTTAATTTTACTGATATCTTGGAAGAGAACAAGATACTGTGAGCAGCCTTAACTCTACCCTAATCAGGTCTGTAGTAACTGAGTTTCCTAGGGTTTTTTAAGCATAAATTGAAATGTTACTTGGAGGGTCAGTGATGATTCACACAGCTGCCTTGATCATGTTGGTTTGCAGCTGAGATATTACTGTGGGTCAGCAAAGCTAATGGGTGCTGTGTAATTCTGGCATGCAACCCAAGCTGCAAAGGATCCCAGGCCTTGAGCCCCCACTACACTAACCATGCAGACAAGCTCTTCAAATGCCCAGGGCCCACCCTGCTCTGGACCAGACACCTTCCCTATTCCAGCCAGCTCCTCCCCAGATGGACATGAGGTGCACATTGACTTTATATTTCCTGGTTTATTTTTAAATTCATACATCCTGGCTCACAAAAGGGGGAGTGGAGAAGGAAGATAGACTCACAGGTCTCAAGAGGAGCAGAGCCACTTCAGATCAGAGCACATGGCTGGGAGGGGAGAATGTAGGGCTGACAATCTTTGCTGCTTGTAATATTTCCCAACCAACCTGCCACCCACATCTGTCTACTGGCCCTGCTGGCCAGCATCAGTGCAAACCTGGCCTTTGGCTGAAAGCCCTTTCCCCTCTGCTGTATTCAGGTGACACTATCCGTAAATAAAATAAAACGGTTGAAGAGGAAGATGAAAGCAGTGTGACAATGCTTTTTTGAGATTTGAGCCTAGAGCCAGATTTGAACTGATGTTAGCTAGCAGGGCATAAGGCATGTTCAATGCTGGTACACATACCCACAAGCCAGCCAACTTGCGCAGGCTTTTGACTACTCAGTCCATACATACAACCCATTAGGCTCATACTCTATCTGGGTAAACATGGAGTAGCTGAGATGGTTTTAGACACCATTAGAACCACAGTTTATCCATCCAGTGCAGAATCTGTCAACACTAAGAGGAGTTGTTCTTTCAGGGGAGCATATTTCAGGATGCCAGGCTCAAATGACTTCATATTTTGTTCCCTATTTGGAATCCTACACTTTGATGAGGCACACCTCGTTTCAAGGCAATCTGACAAAGCCCCATAGATTTTAGCAAATGAAGGTCTGGACTGGATGATTTTTAGGAATTTGGGGGTCAGTGGTTGCCTGCAAACACAGGGGACTGAACTTAGAAGGCCCCTTCTAGTCCTATGTTCCACTTAGGAAAGTCAACAGAAGGGAATTCTCAACCTTCACTAGGTGACATTCTGCTACCACAGACAATGGAAGCGAAATTTTACAGATTAAGAACCACCTATGCCACAGAAATATTCTTGAATATAGCACATCAGTGCATGTTTCTGTAATTCTGGCTTAACTTCAGGAAGCAGCATGCTAGAAAGGGCACTGTGAAAATTTAAGTCTCACCTGTGATGCATTTTATGCTAGATCCATCTACACAGGCAGCTGTTCAGATGGAGTCTCAAATTTCCCCAAGAAGGAAATGCATCTTGTTGAGTGCTGTGATGAAGCAGCAACCCCCACTGCCCCATCATGAGACTTCCAGTTACCACAGGCAGAGCAGATTTCAAAGTGAAAGACTGAGGCATAAGAATGGGGAGTTGTGGGAAGGGACTGGGGGATATGGTAGGCTGCTGAGGAAGTGGGATAAAAAAAAGACCCTTCTTCCTTTTCTGAGAAAACCAGACACATTACAGTAAGTGGGGACACTGTTTAGCCCTCTGTGACCCCTCCATTATGTTTTTCTATTCACAGTCTCTTTTTCTCTTGCCTCCATTTTGATTTAGCTCTGATCTACCTATCTCCCCCAAGGGAGAAAAAGAAAACTGACCAGCCTTTCTAGCTCCATGATCCTCTTTTCTTGTTGATGTATTAGCTGGTTCTTCATTTCCAAAACTTGTTTCAGGCTATTCATGTCTTCCTCTAAGTGCTGATATGGAGCTAGTGCAACCTAGGAAGGAAAAGACAACAGTGAATTTAAGTCTGCCCTTCGTAATCATGCATTCAGTCACTGGCTAAAGTTTTGCTAAGGACCCAAGTGAATCTAAGCTGGAGGACTGCTTAACAAGTTTTGGTGAGCTATTGAGTGCCTCATGGGTAGCTCCTCCCCTAGTCACCATATTGGGACCAGAAGTCCTGCCCTCCAACTCCTGACCTTTGCCACCAGAAGTCCCTCCCCTTGCCCACTGGAAATACTGCTTTTGGGAGGGGGGGGACCAGGAAAAAAACAAATCATACTCTAAAAGTCAAACACCTACTATAACATATTCTAATTTTATTACAAAAAATATTTGTCATGGTTTGTGTTTGTGTGGTGTATATAAAGGGAATTGCATAATAATTAAAAAATAAAGGCTTACTCTTGTATATTGTGTGTGGGAGGTGTGGGGTGCAGTTGGAGGTGGGGGTATATGTATGGTGGGGTGTGGGGGGGGTGTGTATGGTGAGGTGTGGGGATATGTGTGTGTGTGTGGTGGGGTATGGGTGGTACGTGTATGGTGGGGCAGGGGGTGTATGTGCGTATGGTGGGGTACAGGGGTGTGTGGATGCTAGAGTGTGGAAGGGGTGTGTATATAGGGTTTGTAAGGGGGTATGGCTGTGTGTGGGGGCATAGGGTATGTTGTGGGGTATGTGTATATGTGGTGGGGTTGTGGGGGAAAGGTATGAGTGTGTGAGGTGGGGATGTTAAGTCTGTGAGGTGTGAGGGAGGGTGGGGGGTGTGGGGACCCCCCTTCACACTCCCCCACATGGCATGCAGCCCCCACTGCCCCAGCACAGGCACCGGTGCCTGGCAGCACGTGGCTCCGACCAATGCTGAGTGTGGGGGTGAGGACCGCAGCCTGCCGGGCCTGCCTCTATCATGTGGGCTCCACATGGCGTGCATGCAGCTCCTGCACTTGCGTGGCACTGGGGGAAGCCCTGTGCTGGAGCTGGCTGCCTTCCCCTCTCTGTGCTGCACAGATCCCAGGACTCCACGGGGAAGCAGGAGGTGGGCTCCCCTAATCTTCCAGCAGAGTCCTGGGACCTGCGCAGCATGGGACGGGGAAGGCAACCGGTTCCAGCATGGGGCTGGATAGGGGCAGGCTGCACTCCTCACCTGCAAGTGCAGTGCTGGCTGGAGCCATGTGCTGCCGGGCACCAACGCCTATGCAGGGCACAAGCACCCTGAGTACCTCTGCCTACTTCTGCTCCTTACAGCAGGGGCTGTATGCCATGTAGGGGAGTGCGTGGGGGGTTCCCACACCCTCCTCCACCCTCCCTCACATGCATACCTTGCCCACTGAGCTCCATGCTCCTGCCAGCCCCTGGGCGCAGGCTCCATGCTGCTCCCAGCCCCAGCCCCACGCTCCCTGCCCCACCAAGCTCAGACTTCCTTTGCTAATCACTAACCAATACAAATCAAGTGCCTGTCCTGGTGGTTTTCCGAGCTACATTACAGCTGTCAGCTACCTCTAATTGCTCTTCAGTATTTTTCTTTAAAGCCTCTTCAAATCGCTTTGCCTTGTCCCGTAGAGATTGGTTCTGGAATGTCAGGGTGTCCACCTGGTCCTGGAGTTAATGACAAGTGAAAACAAACCTATTAGTCTGCAATGATACTTTCATACAAACAAGGTCCAAATTACACTTTGACTCTTGGGCGGGGTCTGCGACAGTGGCAGCTGAAAGGAGCTGCTGTCGCTGCCGCCTGGGCTGCTTAGAAAGGCATGGGGCAGGCCAGGGGCTGACCGGCCCACGGGAGGGTTCTTGCCTCTTATGGGTGGGGAGGAGGCTCTCATCTATTATGGGGGGGGGGGCTCATCCCCCCACCAAATTAGAACCGTGCATACAAATCAACTTCCGCTGCCAAAGCACACGGGGAAATGACCACAAGGCCTAAGATGTTGCTGCCTGGGGATGTTTTCAGATTAATTCACTCAAATACTCAGTGAAGACTTTAATAACCTAAGCTAAGAGAATCAGCATTTTAGCTAGGGATCCCCTCACTAGCCACATCTTTAGCTTAAGATGGACACTGATTGCAGCTTCTTAAATTCTGTCCTGCTAAACCATCCCAGCTTTTATGGCTCGCTGAGACCAAATATGCCTGCTTTGAAAAGCATATCTTTACGTGAGACTTGTAAAAGCGGTTATTTGTTAAAGGCAGGGACAGTCCCTGGGGGTACAATGGTATGGCTGCACCCCACTGACTATGTAGTACAAATGCAGAGAGTTCACCATTGCTGAGAACTCTGGTCTCAATCACTGGTCTCTGCTGTCGGTCATACCACCTATGCCAGTGGACTCTTTGCCCCTCCTCCCTCTTTTTAAAATCACAGATATGCTCCTAGTAGGTTACTGTTTCTCAGTTTCATAATGGGGAGGAAATAGTATTCAGTCTCTGCCACTGTCCTAAGCTCTAGGGTAGCTAAAATGGTTAAGCAGCAAAAGTGTTTATGGTGTTGACTTCAAATTGTCATCGCTCTGCCTCAGACATAATTCTCCTGAGATGAATGAAGACAGTTCACAGCACTCTACAACTGCAATACTAAAGCTCTACGAAATGGGCTTTGTACAAAGTTTCTAAAGAGAGTAAGGGGGAAATGTTTTGGTTTGAAGTGGCTGCACAACTATTACCCATCACTGTTAGCAGGACCTGGGCTGACTGTACCATCTACTTCTACACAGGGATAGGGCAGAAGGTTAAAGCTTCCAGGTAAAAAAAGTTATTTGTTCCTTCTCCCCTTATCATATGACACCATTTAACTGAGCAGCTAAAACCGAAATTGTGTCCTGTTTGCCTCATCATTGGTAAGGGAGATTCTGCAGTCGGAACGTAGGTATCTGTTTTGATGATGATGCATGAAGTAGTATAGGGTACAGCTCACTCTTTCTTAATGTCATTGGTTCTGCAGTGCTGAAGCAGAATAGCAGGGTACAAAACAACTCATTTTCCAGGAATGGGGAAGTTGACTTCAGATGAACATGGCTAACTACCTCTTGGTGATGGAGCCTGAGAGACAATCAATGTATTCACCCTGGTGAATGTCTGACACTGAAACATGTGAGTACCATTCACCCTAATGCTGCAGTCAGTTTCTTCAGTTACTTTTTATAGAATAAGGGAATTTAAATGCTAAACTCACTGAATCTGACTTTCAGCACTGATGTAAGTGGGTAGTTTAATAATAGCTGTATCTCAACATGAGCACAAAGGTCCAGCTGGTATTCTGTGGGTTCTGTTGTAGGATAGCAAGGGAAACTTTTTTTCTAAGTAAGCAAAATACAAGAACACATACTTTGAGGAGCAAAGTGCCCTTTGTGATTGATTACAGTAGCTGTTTACGGCAAGAATATTAGTATCCTTTATACGACACCAGCAAAAGCTACAGTTGCTGTGGAGACCAATACCTTGGATTTCCTGTCTTTTATTTGTGTAAATTCTCAGCCATAACTGTCATAATTCAGTTATTGCACCAAATAATAGAACTGCTGACATGACTTTCAATTCTATCGTTGCACAAACAATGGTGCCGCAATCGCCGTGTGGAACGGCACATGCTGTTTATTTACTTCTTTTTTGAAAAGTGGAAGTAATTTCTGAACAGTAAAGCAAGCAGAGTTGGTGCCATTTAAAATGGTACCTTTACTTGTTTATACAAGACCTAGAAATTTATCAGACATTACAGAGGACCCCATTCAGTGGATTTCCACCTCAATCTAGAAAACAGGAAGAGCTGTATTTCATTTCAAATTCATAAGTTTAGCTGGTTTTATGAGGGCAAAATGTGTAAGGTAAATAGAGGCATGCAATAAAAGTGACAAAGTGGTGTTATAGACCCAAAAGGGGATGGTTCTTGAGGAAACTGTTTCTGAAATTGATAGATAAGAGCTTAAGAGCTCTTGTGAAAAGAGCCCTGCTGACTTGCTAAGGAGGGAAGGAAAGGCTAGAGAGTGCTTACTTCTACTGCAATGGAATTTGATAGGCCTGAAGAAGCTAAAACCTTTCTCCACCTGCATTTTACTGTTACTTGTCACAACCCAAAGTTGGGGTTTTTTGTTTTTGTGTGCTTCGGCACCGCTAAATTATGTCCCCACCAAATTGCAGCTCCTTTGCACGGTAGAGTTTTCTGCTACAATAGAGAACCTGCGTGCAAAAAGAGTATTTCCCGCCAGTTTGTAGCCTTCTTTGCATGGTGCATTTCTTTTGCATCATAGTGATGCACGGTGCAAAGGAGTTCCCGCCATTTGTATTTAGATTCGCACCACATTATTGGCCGATCTTAATATAGGCACACGTGGCGGCTAGCGATTGGCTTGCTAGCAGTATAAAGAGCTTGGGTGGCTTCCGCCCAAGTTGGAGAGAGAGAGAGAGAGAGAGAAAGCAATTGGAGTTTGGGAGAAAGAGCGTGAAGATCTCTAAACGCTGTTAATCCCTTCGAACCCAGCTTTTTCTTTTCTCCTTAAGAGGGCAACAGAGGGTCGATTTACCAAACCCATGGAGCCTTAACAACTCCGGGGGACCTATTTACCGAACCCGCAGAGCTTCAACCACTCCGGGGGCCAAACGGCCTCTAGCCTCTCCCCGTCACCGAGCGTGATCCTAGACGTATCCCTTTCCTTTGAAACTACCGAACCCGCGGAGCTTCAACCACTCCGGGGCCAATTACCGAGCCGAACCTGCGGAGCTTCAACAACTCCGGGGTCAATTATTGGAGTCCTCTAGCGAGGACTTAAGCAGAGCCGTGCCTGGAAAACTGTCCAGCCTACACCACGACCATCTTTGGTGTAAGTAAACAATCTTTTAATCAACCATTACGCGTCTGTGACTAATTCTAGCTCGCCACCGGTCCTCTCCGACCCCGCGTGCCCGGGCTGCTGGCCACAGCCTGCATGCACAAAGACAGGTTCGCATACCGCTCCTAGCCCGCACATGGCCGCATGGACGGGATCGGGAGGCGGCCCGCACATTACTAATGGTTTTTCCCTGCTTTTCCTTCATGTACATTTAGAGTTTTTCCACTTCAGCTGGAGGAAGAAAGAAGCTAAAAAGGCATTTTGTAGGCAACACAACTTAGAAAGAATGAGCACAGGAGTCAATTAAAGCAGAAGAGTTATTGAGAAATAATCATACAGTGATTATGCAAATCCCTCAACTCAGAGTGGGTAACAATGGCCATCCATCAGTCAGCATTCAGGGATCCATGTATTAGAGTTACTGAGAAATTACAGCATGGGGATGATGTAAACTAAGCACCCAGAACCAACCAGTGTGCTGGGAGTTACATTACTGATAAAACACTGTGCTGCTAAAGGTCAGTAGTACCCAGCACCCAGGCGCTTAGAGAATTCCATTTTACTGTTGTATGAGCAGGGGAAACAGTTTTGTGACATAATAAGGGTCTAGAAATAATGAAAGCATTAACCTGGAGTGACAGCCGCAGTTTTTCAAAATTCTCTTCTAGTTCTTTCTTTTCCAGTTCGTGGGCAGACATCAGTTCTACGGAAAATAAAATATCACATTGCCAAATGAGTCCAGCAAACTGTATAAATTAAGGGCAGAGTGGTTAGAGGACATTTATTTTCCATATCATGAACTTAACTCCATTAGGAAAGCAGCTCAAGTGGAAGGAACAGTGACTAGGAGCGGACCAACAACTCACTGTGGAGTTCTGAGCAAATTCCTAGCATTTCCAGAAGCATGCAGATTTTAGGTGCCTCAATTTAGAGTGTCAAACATGGACCTTATTTCAGAGGTGCTGAGAAACTATAGCTCCCCTGGCATTACACTCAGTATCTCTGAACAAGGACCTTGTCTTTAAAACTCAGGTCCCACCCAACAATTAAGGCTTTTCATATTAATCGGTACTTTTGTCAGTCTGGCCTTAGTCTCCAATTCCCCTACTGCAAAAATGTGCATCAGAATAACTGCTTGGAGTTTTGGACAGGAATATTAAGTGGATGAGCATGCTGCACTTACTTTAAACATACAAAGTACTATATTAATGTCCTATAATGATAATTTTTATTATTAGAATGTCAAGCCATAGGAAACTGTGATTAATAACCATAAGTTTAGTAATTAAAGTGCATTAAAGTTTAATAATGAAACAAGTGGTATCAAACAGGGATGAAATTTTAAACTCTTTGGGGCAGGGAACATGTGTTTTTTTCTATGTATACACTGAACCTTGCACAATGGAGTCTTGGTGCTTGACTAGAGTTCCTAAGTATTACAGTAATACAGACAATAAATAATACTAACAATAAATAAATGGAGCTCTTTGCAACTAGCCCAATTCAGTAACGTTTGGAGTGGGTTACAATTCCACTGCTGCAATGCTCTTTTCATCCACTAGAGGGCATTTCATACCTGTGCAAGGAGCAAGCGGCACAAATGTGCTGACAGCAAAGGCCTGGCTAGGAACATGCATGCTTTAGCGAAATCAAAATAAATGACTGCTCAAAATATCCTGAGGCAGGTACATTTTTTTTTTTTTCAAAAGGAATAATAATTTTAAAAAATATCAAACCATTTTCTGCCTTTAAGGTAAGGAAACATGCTTAAGAATTCAGCAACTACCGAGTAAATGTTTCAGAGTTATGTTTCTGAAAGGTACAGTACAGTTGTAAACAATCTCACTTAATTCAGGATTGTAATGGAAAAACCTTCTGTAGTGCCTATTTTCAAAAGGAACTCAGGTCCAGATTTTAAAAGCATATAGGGCTGCTCTGCTCACTGTTGCCAGACCTACTGACCTAGATGGCTGGGTCCCATGCTCAGAAGAGACTTAGGCACCGAGGAGATGCACTTTCATTGAGGTCTAGACTCCCTAGTGTCTCCAGGCTAGATTTGCAAAGAGATAAAGGCACCAAACTGCTACTTCGGGGGCATGACTACATGAGAGGTTTACTGTGGAGCTGCCTAATTAGTTCTGCAGTAAAGTCTCTGCATCTATACATGTGGCCCTATTAAGTTGCAATAAACTATTAAACACCACCATAGGTTAGTACTTGTAAGACTGCACTGGAGCACCCTCATGCCCCAGCCACCACCTCCACAGCATACTGAACTGGGTCGGAAAGGCCCCAGGCTGGCAGGCTGACCCCCCGCACCCCCTGCCAGCTGGGGTTGCTCCAATTCAGCTCAACGTGCTGCAGTCCCAGGGACATGTGTAAATGCACCACCCAGGAGCAATACATTCTGACATGATATACACTGGAGTTTATTGCTTCTCATTAATTGCCCATGTAGATGCACCCCAGGTGTTTATGTTCAGCATTTTAGCAGTGCCAAACACCTAACAACTTGCGCCTGGCATCTGCTTGTGGCTGTAGACAAATGTGTTTCCACCACTAGTGGACAGCAATATTTTTGCTACTAAACATGAGCACAATCATCCAGGTCTGCATAGTGTTGACCTCCTGGGGTGCTAAGGAACAAACTAAGCATTCCTCTGCCTATCTGGCAGATGTATTTCAAGAATAGCTACTGGATCAGGCCTCACAGAAAACACAGTGAGGAGGAGGTGATCTTTGTCCAGTAGCTAGTCTAGAGCATCTTCCTGGGATGGAGAGGATCCAGTTTCACGTCCTTTCTCTGCCTGATTTGGAGAAAGCACATGGACCCAGATAACCCAAAAGTACCAGGGCTAAATAATTTGACTTTTAGGCACTATAATAACACAAATAAATAATAATGATAAAATAACAAGACTGAGGTTCAGCACTATAGTGCATAACTTTTAATTGTCCTTCCTGCTCCTGGAATTGCTGACTCCAACTTAGAGGCTCAAGTACTCTGTACAAGGCACAGGGAAGAGCAGGGCTTCTAAAGATACATCTGCAAAGCACAATCCAGTACCATGTAGAGACCTCTGAGTTAGTGCTGAACCAGCTCTGCCTGGGGTACCAGAGCCAGGCTGCTGCTTCTGGTGCAAAGCTAGCTTGTTTAGAGCCAGCTCAGGTATACTACCACACAACACCAGGGTACTCTACATCATGTTCTAAACATGGGATTTGCAGAAGACACACACTGAGCAGGACAAGAGGAAAGAAGGAGATGCTATAATTTGAAACCTTTCCACTCAAAAGGGGCTTGGCACCCACTTCCCAACCCCTGGATGAATGCGCTAAGCACCTGGCTGGAGAAGCATACGCAGCCTCTTGCTTTCTGGTTCAGTAAATATACAATGCACTTGGTATCCTGCAAGGTCTGGCTCCACACTATACTGACATGCATATTTTAAAGCTCCAACCCTTGCTGCCATAAAAGCAACTGTCCTTTCATTATTCAGGGATCAAAACATTGTGCATGTGCTATATCTGTCAGTCTGTTATGTAGCACATCAATCTGTAGAAAAACCCTTGCTGTTGAACGGTAACATTTGGGTCACTGAAACAGTCTCACTGACCCTCTTATATATAATAAAAGAAAAGAAGGCAATTAGTTTTAGAAAATGAAAGGAGAGGAAACAGTGACTAAGCAGGACTATGGGTCTATCCAAAGCCACTCTGTGGTGACAATGCATGTACAAGTGTCATGCATCTGTATGGGGTCATTGGCTGATTAGACAGAAGCTGTTCAAGGTAGCTTGTTCCTACCTCAATAGCCCTTATTGGGGTAAAGTTAACTCTGCCCGGTGTATCACCAAATCTCTCTTTGTTGTTTCTTCCCCATCTGAGGGAGAAGTAGCTGAGAGCAGTTACGGGGAGGGAGCTGTAGTGCAGGCATGCTGTCTGGGTCTCCTGTGTTGCAAGACAGGTTTAGGGA